GTTTGTGTTGGTGTTGTGTTGGTGTTATGTTGTGTTTGTGTTGTTTGTGTTGTGTTGTGTTTGTGTTGGTGTTGTGTTTGTGTTGTATTTGTGTTTGTGCTGTGTTTGTGTTGTGTTGGTGTTGTGTTTGTGTTGTGTTGTGGTTGTTTATGCTGTGTTTGTGTTGGTGTTGTGTTGGTGTTGTGTTGTGTTTGTGTTGTGCTTGTGTTGTGTTGTGCTTGTGTTGCGTTGGTGTTGTGTTGTGTTTGTGTTGTGTTTGTGTTGGTGTTGTGTTGGTGTTGTGTTTGTGTTGTGTCTGTGTTGTGTTGGTGTTGTGTTTGTGTTGTGTTTGTGTTGTGTTGGTGTTGTGTTGGTGTTGTGTTGGTGTTGTGTTTGTGTTGTGTTGGTGTTTTGTTTGTGTTGTGTTTGTGTTGTGTTCTGTTTGTGTTGTGTTGGTGTTGTGTTTGTGTTGTGTTTGTGTTGTTTGTGTTGTGTTTGTGTTGGTGTTGTGTTTGTGTTGGTGTTGTGTTGGTGTTGTGTTGGTGTTGTGTTGGTGTTGTGTTTGTGTTGGTGTTGTGTTGGTGTTGTGTTTGTGTTGTGTTTGTGTTGTGTTTGTGTTGGTGTTGTGTTTGTGTTGTGTTGTGGTTGTGTTTGTACTGTGTTTGTGTTGGTGTTGTGTTGTGTTTGTGTTGTTTGTGTTGTGTTTGTGTTGTGTTGTTTGTGTTGTGTTTGTGTTGTGTTGGTGTTGTGTTTGTGTTGTGTTTGTGTTGTATTGTGTTTGTGTTATGTCTGTGTTGTGTTGTGTTTGTGCAGTGTTTGTGTTGTGTTGTGTTTGTGTTGTGTTTGTGTTGTGTTGTGTTTGTGTTGTGTTTTTGTTGTGTTTGTGTTGTGTTGGTGTTGTGTTTGTGTTGTGCTTGTGTTGTGTTGGTGTTGTGTTGGTGTTGTGTTGGTGTTGTGTTTGTGTTGTGTTGGTGTTGTGTTGGTGTTGTGTTTGTGTTGCGTTTGTGTTGTGTTTGTGTTGTGTTGGTGTTGTGTTTGTGTTGTGTTGTGTTGTTTGTGTTGTGTTGGTGTTGTGTTGGTGTTGTGTTGGGTTTGTGTAGTGTTGTGTTTGTGTTGTGTTTGTGTTGGTGTTGTGTTGGTGTTATGTTGTGTTTGTGTTGTTTGTGTTGTGTTGTGTTTGTGTTGGTGTTGTGTTTGTGTTGTGTTTGTGTTTGTGCTGTGTTTGTGTTGTGTTGGTGTTGTGTTTGTGTTGTGTTGTGGTTGTTTGTGCTGTGTTTGTGTTGGTGTTGTGTTGGTGTTGTGTTGTGTTTGTGTTGTGCTTGTGTTGTGTTGTGCTTGTGTTGCGTTGGTGTTGTGTTGTGTTTGTGTTGTGTTTGTGTTGTGTTGGTGTTGTGTTTGTGTTGTTTTGTGTTGGTTTTGTGTTGCGTTGGTGTTTGTGTTGTGTCTGTGTTGTGTTGGTGTTGTGTTTGTGTTGTGTTTGTGTTGTATTGTGTTTGTGTTATGTTGTGTTTATGTTTGTTTTTGTGTTGTGTTGTGTTTGTGTTGTGTTCCACTTTGTGCACGTGCACAACACATTCGCTCGCTCGGAGCCATCCGGATCGCTCGGCGGTGCAACTGGGGCCTCCCCCCCACTCCCCTTCCCCTAACACCACCGCTCCGTCATCTCACTTCACCCTCAACTCGATTATCTGCTAAGGGGCCGTCCATAAATGACGTCACGCGATTTTTGACGATTTTTGACCCCCACCCCCTCGTCACACAACGTCACAAAAAGTCAGACCCCCCTCAAATATGACGTCACAAAGCCCTGCCCCCCACCCCCCCCCCCCCAAACCGTATTTTCATTTTTTAAAATAAAACATGCTTCAAATCGCTTTAAACTATTGTCATTGTAGTGCGTATTTAATGTGGCGTTGCACTCTGATGCTGTAGGAGAAAACATTTATTAAAACGTCTATTTAATTAAGTAGAACGTGTTTGTCTATATTTATTTGCGCATTTTGATGTGACGTCACATTTCTCAACCCCCCACCCCCCCTCGTCACACATCGTCACAAATGTCTGACCCTCCCCCCCCCCAGGTGCGTGACGTCATTTATGTACGGCCCCTTAGATCGTGGTTGAATGCACGACTCGTGACAGCTACTTACTTTAGAAGTTAAACCGCTCCGAGTCCGAAGACTCTCTCTCTTTTTTGAGGACGGGCCTGCTGCTACATTTGGGCATTTGGTAACTTCAAATAAAGAGTGTGTGGCTTCTTGTGGTCCATGGGTCTCTGTGTGAGTCTATGGAACTTTACGTGAGTCTCTATGTCAGTCTATGGGTCTCTATATGAGTCTCATGAATCTGTATGTGACTCTATGGGTCTTTACGTGAGTCTGTGTCTCTATGTCAGTCGATGGGTCTCTATATGAGTATATGGCTCCCTGTTTTGAGTCTATGGGTCTCTATATGAGTCTCATGAGTCTGTATGCGACTCTATGGGTCTTTACGTGAGTCTGTGTCTCTATGTCAGTCTATGGGTCTCTATATGAGTATATGGCACTGTTTTGAGTCTATGGGTCTCTATGTGAGTCTCATGAGTCTGTATGTGACTCTATGGGTCTTTACGTGAGGCTGTGTCTCTATGTCAGTCTATGGGTCTCTATATGAGTATATGGCTCTCTGTTAGTCTATGGGTCTCTATATGAGTCTCATGAGTCTGTATGTGACTCTATGGGTCTTTACGTGAGTCTGTGTCTCTATGTTAGTCTATGGGTCTCTATATGATTCTCATGAGTCTGTATGTGACTCTATGGGTCTTTACGTGAGTCTGTGTCTCTATGTCAGTCTATGGGTCTCTATATGATTCTCATGAGTCTGTATGTGACTCTATGCGTCTTTACGTGAGTCTGTGTCTCTATGTCAGTCTATGGGTCTCTAGATGAGACTCATGAGTCTGTATGTGACTCTATGGGTCTTTACGTGAGTCTGTGTCTCTATGTCAGTCTATGGGTCTCTATATTAGTCTCATGAGTCTGTATGTGACTCTATGGGTTTTTACGTGAGTCTGTGTCTCTATGTTAGTCTATGGGTCCATACTCTTTGGTTCTTTCGTTAAAGTCACGTAGATGGAAAAAATAATGAAATAATAAAATGAAAATAACTAAATAAAATGTCAGCTGTTATTTCATGCTAATCTCTCACATTAACATAGCCACTTCCATACCCAGTTACATGATAATTTATCACATTAACATCATGCTAATCTCTCACATTAACAAACCCACTTCCGTGCCCAGTTACATGCTAATTTCTCACATGAACATCACTAGACCCAGCCACTTCTTCATGACCCTTGGGGTACACCCATTTCAAACCTTTTAAAACAGTCTGCCTCAGCAGCAGACCATGCTTTCCCACCTGATGATGGACGCTTGGGTTGCGCCCGAAACGTCGCGATTTAATTTAGTTATATTCATTTTATTATTTTCATCATTATTATTTTTCATCTACGTGACTTTACCGAAAGAACCAAAGAGTATGAATCCTTGCCGTCACGAAAACTTCAAATCTAGAATGAGTCTATGGGTCGCTATGAGTATATGGCTCTATTTTGAGTCTATGCGTCTGTATGTGACTCTATGGGTCTTTATGTGAGTCTGTCTCTGTCAGTCTATGGGTCTGTATATGAGTACATGGCTCTCTGTTTCGAGTCTATGGCTCTCTAGATGAGTCTATGGGTCTCGATGTGAGTCTACGGGTCTCTGAACGTCTCTCCGTGTCTCTCCTCAAGCCACGCGCACTCTCACAACAACAAACAACAAACAACAACAACAACCGAGTGCGCCTTGTTCCTCTGTCGACAATGACACAGGTCTACAATTCTGTAGACGCCGTCTGCTTCAGAGATGACACGTGCTGCTTATTATGTGCTGAATTCAAATTTGACAATTAAAACAACTGATTGGCTACTGTTCCCAAGATATTTAAGTTTTTACATTGTACGTCTACGTATATTGTGTAGACAGTAGAGTTTTACTCTTAAATTGTAAACCTAGGTCTTTTCACGTGTTCACGGTTACTTTAAATGATAACATGTCACGTGTCCTGTTCATGTAACACTTTAAAAATCAGCAAAGGAGTTGCATACGTAAGATGTATTATAAACAATCGATAATCATCGATACGTCGATGCATCGTTAGGGCCCCATAGTTTGGGAGAGTTCAAATACCAGTTGTTGGTCGACTTATCGCGTCAGCCCTTCGGTGCCAATACATTGAGTAACACTTGATTGAATATCGACGGTGATAACAACCGTACGTGGCGACTCCCGCAGGCCATAGGAATGTGGAACTTTCATCGCTGTCTCAAGCGGCCAAATGATCACCTGACCCGGCATGGGCCCAGGCTTCGCCTGATCTCGGGAGCAGCGGTTGAGTCTGCAGAGTGCTCGGATGGGCGACCACCACCACCGCGCATAACAGGTGCTATAGGCTGCTTCTGCGGGGCAACGTTGTCAGCAGAGGGCGGTGCATCAAAATCCCCCGTTGTCCTGCACTATGCTCCAACACCTCTCTCTTTAACCCGCGCTGACAAGCATGGTGAAGTATGGTCAAACAACCCCCACAACTCGAATGGGGCGAACCCCCATCCAGCAGGGTTGTCAAGTTGCGTCCTCTTGCCATCACGGACGTGGCTGCGACACCAGGCGCGGGGCCGGCGAGCCTCGGGGGGGGGTCCATTAAAACAACAACAACAACAAAACGATCCCCACGATGTGTGCAGTCAACAGAGCACGCGTCCAGTGCGGGAGACCCCCAACGCCGCCGCCGTCGCTGCGTTTCGCAAGAGCGTGGAGACGAATTCGTTTCGCAACTGCACGAGACTCCCGCCACCACCACCACCGCCACCGCCGCCACCACCACCGCCGCCGCCACCGCCACCACCGCCGCCACCACCGCCGTCACCACCACCACCGCCACCACCACCACCACCACCGCCGTCACCACCACCACCGCCGCCACCGCCACCACCGCCGTCACCACCACCACCACCACCGCCGTCACCACCACCACCGCCACCACCGTGGAATCGCCAGAGAGGAGCAGCTTCGGGCGCTCCGTGAGTGGCGACGTCTGCGGCGCGCGCGCGTCACGTCCACCGTCTCGTCGTCTAAATCCCTGCGCCGAGGTCCTGAAGGGGAATCGTCGCCACCTCGGGCGATAGTTGGCAGCGCGAGACTCTTGGCTGCTTGCCAGCTTTGGTTGTGGCTTTCCTGCCCCCCCCCTCTCCCCACGATGAGTTCGATGCACGGGCATCATCATCCTCCTCCTGCTCCTCCCGCTCGTCGCCTCTCCAACGTTCCGATGCGCTACGAACCCGGCGTCCCGAGTTCGATTTCCGCTCACGGCCAACACCCGGTGACGATTATCTGAACCGGTCCTGGGCCTCCGACCCTAGGTCGACTCAGCCTCAAATGAGTACCTGGTGCGGTGTGTAAACATCGTCACTGGCGAGACAAAGGCGGCCGGGCGTGGTGCTGGCCACCCACCCCCTCGTGTGCCGTGCCGGCCTTCATAGGCGCTCGCTAACAGCACTTGCCCCTACAGTCTGTTAAGGCTACACGGGGGATCTCTGTCTCTGTAGGTAGCTACTCGCTACTACTAACAGCACTTGCCCCGACAGTCTGTTAAGGCTACACGGGGGATCTTTGTCTCTGTAGATAGCTACTCGCTACTACTAACAGCACTTGCCCCGACAGTCTGTTAAGGCTACACGGGGGATCTCTGTCTCTGTAGGTAGCTACTCGCTACTACTAACAGCACTTGCCCCGACAGTCTGTTAAGGCTACACGGGGGATCTTTGTCTCTGTAGGTAGCTACTCGCTACTACTAACAGCACTTGCCCCGACAGTCTGTTCAGGCTACACGGGGGATCTTTGTCTCTGTAGGTAGCTACTCGCTACTACTAACAGCACTTGCCCCGACAGTCTGTTCAGGCTACACGGGGGATCTCTGTCTCTGTAGGTAGCTACTCGCTACTACTAACAGCACTTGCCCCGACAGTCTGTTAAGGCTACACGGGGGATCTTTGTCTCTGTAGGTAGCTACTCGCTACTACTAACAGCACTTGCCCCGACAGTCTGTTAAGGCTACACGGGGGATCTCTGTCTCTGTAGGTAGCTACTCGCTACTACTAACAGCACTTGCCCCGACAGTCTGTTAAGGCTACACGGGGGATCTTTGTCTCTGTAGGTAGCTACTCGCTACTACTAACAGCACTTGCCCCGACAGTCTGTTAAGGCTACACGGGGGATCTTTGTCTCTGTAGGTAGCTACTCGCTACTACTAACAGCACTTGCCCCGACAGACTGTTAAGGCTACACGGGGGATCTTTGTCTCTGTAGGTAGCTACTCGGTACTACTAACAGCACTTGCCCCGACAGTCTGTTCAGGCTACACGGGGGATCTCTGTCTCTGTAGGTAGCTACTCGCTACTACTAACAGCACTTGCCCCGACAGTCTGTTAAGGCTACACGGGGGATCTTTGTCTCTGTAGGTAGCTACTCGCTACTACTAACAGCACTTGCCCCGACAGTCTGTTAAGGCTACACGGGGGATCTCTGTCTCTGTAGGTAGCTACTCGCTACTACTAACAGCACTTGCCCCGACAGTCTGTTAAGGCTACACGGGGGATCTGTCTCTGTAGGTAGCTACTCGCTACTACTAACAGCACTTGCCCCGACAGTCTGTTAAGGCTACACGGGGGATCTTTGTCTCTGTAGGTAGCTACTCGGTACTACTAACAGCACTTGCCCCGACAGTCTGTTCAGGCTACACGGGGGATCTCTGTCTCTGTAGGTAGCTACTCGCTACTACTAACAGCACTTGCCCCGACAGTCTGTTAAGGCTACACGGGGGATCTTTGTCTCTGTAGGTAGCTACTCGCTACTACTAACAGCACTTGCCCCGACAGTCTGTTAAGACTACACGGGGGATCTCTGTCTCTGTAGGTAGCTACTCGCTACTACTAACAGAACTTGCCCCGACAGTCTGTTAAGGCTACACGGGGGATCTTTGTCTCTGTAGGTAGCTACTCGCTACTACTTACAGCACTTGCCCCGACAGTCTGTTAAGGCTACACGGGGGATCTTTGTCTCTGTAGGTAGCTACTCGCTACTACTAACAGCACTTGCCCCGACAGTCTGTTAAGGCTACACGGGGGATCTTTGTCTCTGTAGGTAGCTACTCGCTACTACTAACAGCACTTGCCCCGACAGTCTGTTAAGGCTACACGGGGGATCTTTGTCTCTGTAGGTAGCTACTCGCTACTACTAACAGCACTTGCCCCGACAGTCTGTTCAGGCTACACGGGGGATCTCTGTCTCTGTAGGTAGCTACTCGCTACTACTAACAGCACTTGCCCCGACAGTCTGTTAAGGCTACACGGGGGATCTTTGTCTCTGTAGGTAGCTACTCGCTACTACTAACAGCACTTGCCCCGACAGTCTGTTGAGGCTACACGCGGTGGAGATCTTTGTCTCTGTAGGTAGCTACTCGCTACTACTAACAGCACTTGCCCCGACAGTCTGTTCAGGCTACACGGGGGATCTTTGTCTCTGTAGGTATCTACTCGCTACTACTAACAGCACTTGCCCCGACAGTCTGTTAAGGCTACACGGGGGATCTTTGTCTCTGTAGGTAGCTACTCGGTACTACTAACAGCACTTGCCCCGACAGTCTGTTAAGGCTACACGGGGGATCTTTGTCTCTGTAGGTAGCTACTCGCTACTACTAACAGCACTTGCCCCGACAGTCTGTTAAGGCTACACGGGGGATCTCTGTCTCTGTAGGTAGCTACTCGCTACTACTAACAGCACTTGCCCCGACAGTCTGTTAAGGCTACACGGGGGATCTTTGTCTCTGTAGGTAGCTACTCGTTACTACTAACAGCACTTGCCCCGACAGTCTGTTGAGGCTACACGCGGTGGAGATCTTTGTCTCTGTAGGTAGCTACTCGCTACTACTAACAGCACTTGCCCCGACAGTCTGTTCAGGCTACACGGGGGATCTTTGTCTCTGTAGGTATCTACTCGCTACTACTAACAGCACTTGCCCCGACAGTCTGTTAAGGCTACACGGGGGATCTTTGTCTCTGTAGGTAGCTACTCGGTACTACTAACAGCACTTGCCCCGACAGTCTGTTCAGGCTACACGCGGTGGAGATCTTTGTCTCTGTAGGTAGCTACTCGCTACTACTAACAGCACTTGCCCCGACAGTCTGTTAAGGCTACACGGGGGATCTCTGTCTCTGTAGGTAGCTACTCGCTACTACTAACAGCACTTGCCCCGACAGTCTGTTAAGGCTACACGGGGGATCTTTGTCTCTGTAGGTAGCTACTCGTTACTACTAACAGCACTTGCCCCGACAGTCTGTTGAGGCTACACGCGGTGGAGATCTTTGTCTCTGTAGGTAGCTACTCGCTACTACTAACAGCACTTGCCCCGACAGTCTGTTCAGGCTACACGGGGGATCTTTGTCTCTGTAGGTATCTACTCGCTACTACTAACAGCACTTGCCCCGACAGTCTGTTAAGGCTACACGGGGGATCTTTGTCTCTGTAGGTAGCTACTCGGTACTACTAACAGCACTTGCCCCGACAGTCTGTTCAGGCTACACGCGGTGGAGATCTTTGTCTCTGTAGGTAGCTACTCGCTACTACTAACAGCACTTGCCCCGACAGTCTGTTCAGGCTACACGGGGGATCTTTGTCTCTGTAGGTATCTACTCGCTACTACTAACAGCACTTGCCCCGACAGTCTGTTAAGGCTACACGGGGGATCTCTGTCTCTGTAGGTAGCTACTCGCTACTACTAACAGCACTTGCCCCGACAGTCTGTTAAGGCTACACGCGGTGGGGATCTTTGTCTTGTGCATGGACCCGTGCGTGTCTCCGTGTCTCTCTCTCGCCCTCTCCCACAGAAGCCACCATGCAGGTCGCCGCCGCGCTGTGCGCCACGTTGCTGTGGGCATCGCGGATGGAGACGGGTGAGTGTCGTCTCTCCCCGGCTCGCCACGCAGACTCCGTCAACACTCTTGTCCATTGGGCACCGTCCCTTCTCGCGTGGTGGGCGTGAGCCCTGATGCACGCGACGATGATGATGATGGTTTCGATTATGATGTGAATGATGTTTTGGTATGAAAGTATTTCAACTGGAAAATCCCTTCAGAAAGAAGCATCTCGCTTTCGAAGGTACCAATTTATGATCATAACGATGATGACGATAATATTGATGATCATAACGATGATGGTGAAGATGACGATGACAACGATGGCGATGATCACAACGATCGTGACGATGTTGGTGATCGTTACGATGACAACGATGGCGATGATCACAACGATCGTGACGATGTCGATGATCGTAACGATGACAACGATGGCGATGATCACAACGATCGTGACGATGTCGGTGATCGTAGCGATGACAACGATGGCGATGATCACAACGATCGTGACGATGTTGGTGATCGTAACGATGACAACGATGGCGATGATCACAACGATCGTGACGATGTTGGTGATCGTAACGATGACAACGATGGCGATGATCATAACGATCGTGACGATGTTGTTGATCGTAACGATAACAACGATGGCGATGATCACAACGATCGTGACGATGTTGGTGATCGTAACGATGACAACGATGGCGATGATCACAACGATCGTGACGATGTTGGTGATCGTAACGATGACAACGATGGCGATGATCATAACGATCGTGACGATGTTGTTGATCGTAACGATGACAACGATGGCGATGATCACAACGATCGTGACGATGTTGGTGATCGTAACGATGACAACGATGGCGATGTCCCCCCCCCCCCCCCCCCACGTGTCGCGCGCGCGCAGCGATCCACGCCGGGGTCCGCGTGCGCGTGCGGCCGGGCTGGGCGGTGCGCGCGCGCGTGGGGGACCGCCTGAGCCTGTGGTGCGAGGTGACCCTGCTCGCGGGGCTCCCCGAGGGGCCCCTCTCGCCCCTCCCACACGACCCCGACCTCCCGGCCGCCGTCACCGTGCGCTGGCTGCGTGTGCCGAGTTCCGAGGGAGGGGCTCGCGAGCCCGCGCCGCTCACGCTGGTGCTGGAGACGCGAGGGACTCAGGCGAGCGGCACATCGCGGCGGCGTTCCGCATTCACGACATTCGCGGCGGGCAGAGGCGGCGTCATCCCCGCGGTGTAAAGCGCGCGCGCTCCGCTCCTATACGCCGCGGCGTCTCACTCGGTAGCGCTCACCGCACCTTCAATCTCATCAACACACTGGAATGGGCCCCACCCACCCAGAGGCAGCCCTTCCCTGGCTACCTTACCGCTCGTCTGTGATTTCCGGCGCCTCTGAATCATCATCATCAGCATCATCAGCATCATCATCTCTCTCGATCCGTGCGGCGCGTCGCTAAGTCGTTGGTGGTTGCAGGCGCCGCGTGCTGGGCCGGGCTACGGCGCCCGCGTGCGGAGCGGGGAGCTCTGCGTGGAGGCGATGTGTGGCCGCGGTCTGGGACAGAAGCTCACCCTGGGCCCACTCCGCGGCGGGGAGGACGCCGGCGGCTACGCGTGCGAGGCTGCCTGGGACCTCCCGCGCACGAGCTCGGGTCGGGGGTCGCGCGCTGTGGCGCGTGCCTACGCCTACGTCCACGTGGACGGCAGCGGTGAGCGCGGCGGGGTTCGTTCGGCACGCGGCGGGGAGGTCGAAAGCCCGCGTCGAACACCCCGGCATTTGGGACGGCTCGTCACGTGGCCCGAGGCGACAACCGGTGAGCGACCCCGCCGCCTCCTCCTCCTCCTCCTCCCGGTGTCTCCGTGTCCGAGCGCAGGAGCCGCGGTCGCGTTCTCGGTCCGTGTGTGGCCACCCGAAGGTTCCTCCGTGGCCGAGGGGCACCGCGCGGAGCTGTGGTGTCTCGTGTCCGGCCTCCCTGCGTTCCGCTCGGTCCCGGGTCCCGGCGCCGACCCGGAGTCGAACTCGGCCGTGGCCGTCCGCTGGTTCCACGCCCCAGCGGGTGCGAACCGCCTCCCGGTGCACGTTTCGTCAAGTGGCGGTGCTTTGACGCTGGCTCAGAGGTCGGAGCGGGGGAGCACGCACGGCTGAGAGCCTGGGTTCCAATCCGGGATTCGGCCGCTGCCCGTGATGACACAGGCTCCGCGGTTTAGTGAGTTGACGGTCTCCATCACCAATGACTCGCGGGATGGAGAAGCGGCTCATCCGAAGACCCAGTGGCAGCGCAATGTGCCGCTTGTTTCTGCGATGTTTTTGTCGGCTCGCAATCTGGCAGGGCACCTTGGGTGCTGCTGCAGTGTATTCACCATAAAACACAGTGGGTGAAGAAGATCACATGATGATATTGGAGATAAGTAGGTCACGGTGTGCTGGCTTCATGGTCCGCATCTTAATGTTATCCACTAATTACTCAACTGGGATTAAACATTGTAACATCGTCCCCTGCCGTGATACTGCTGCCGACTCTGCCCGTGAAATATCGCGCCGTCACTCGCCATAGCCTCGCTCGACTGTGGCATGCGTACCACGTGGGCAAATGTATTATTATTATCAATGACACCACCAAAAGGATTTATACTACCACCAACATCATCATCGTCACCATCATCTTAGACCATGACCAGCACACCTCCTTAACCCATAACTACCCCCCCCCCCACACACACACTCCCTTTCCCACCCCCCCGCAGGAGTCCCGGCCACAGAGAAGGGCTCCGTGCTGCTGAGTCGCACAACGAGTGGCGACGTCTGGGCGCACGAGCGGCACAAGTGAGGCCCACGGCCCAGACACAACCACCGAGTTCACGGCCAACGCCCCGCGAGGCCAAACGCCGACATCCAACGCCAATACCCCGCCCGCTCGCCACTCAGCGACGGCGAAGTCACCACGACGCATGTGCCAGGCTAGGTGCACCACGGTGGAGCCGTGCGAGAGACCAGGGGCCAAACGCCGCACAGGAATCGACATCCAGGGCCCTCGCGCCACACGAGGCCGACCACTTCGAAAGGTCCCGCAATCGATATCGATCCTTCAAGCAGTCGATATCGATCCTTCAAGCAATCGATATCGATCCTTCAAGCAATCGATATCGATCCGTCAACTGCACGCACCTCATCCGCACTGCCCGGGCACTGTGTTTTGTTTGTTTGACCAGGCAACACCGCGCTGATAGGTATATCTCCGTTTTAAACTTCATCACTCCCGGTCACACTCGTTTCGAATTTCAAGTCGCTCCAAAAGCAAACCGTAACCAGAAGGGTTCTAGTGCGATCAAAGGTTCAGTGTCGGCCACCGCCGGCTACACTGCCTCCCTGTGTACCGTCGTGGCCCCTTGACATTTCTCACCTTCCGTTTGTAAATCTCGCCACCTCATTGCTTCTCCTTACCGCCTCTTCTCTCGTCTCACGGCACGCTCCTGCCCCGCTCTCCGCGTTCTCAATCGTTGCGGTCTGCTTCTGTTCGTCCTCCTCCTTGCCCACAGTCCTCAGTATCGCTCGTTCTCACCCCTAGTCCCCTCTTCACTCCAATGAACTGTCCTTGTACGTCAATCACCCTCTCTCTTCTCATAAACCCCACTCATCCTCTCTTGCGCCACCCTTCCTCCACACTCGCACAAACGCCGCCTTCCTTCCCTGCCCACAACTCCCCAAAGTCACCCACCATCAATCCAACCCCGGCTCATTCCCAGCTTCGTTCATTCCACACATCGCCACCACCACCGCCGCCTCGTGTCACACACACACACATCCCATCCGCTCATCTCCTTTCCTCTCGCAAACCATCCCGTGCCACGGTTCACCGTGCAGCGCCTCGCTCAAGTCGCAGTCGAAAGCGCACGGCGCGAAGAACGCTCGGTGGGGGCGTTGGCTGTCGCGCCGGCCGCGTTAGCAGGGACGGCACCACCCCCACCACCACCACCACCCCCACCACCACCACCACCACCACCCCCACCACCACCACCACCATCACCACCACCACCACCACCACCACCACCCCCACCACCACCACCACCACCCCCACCACCACCACCACCCCCACCACCACCACCACCAACACCACCACCACCACCACCACCCCCACCACCCCCACCACCACCACCCACACCACCACCCCCACCACCACCCCCACCACCCCCACCACCACCCCCACCACCACCCCCACCACCACCACCACCCCCACCACCCCCACCACCACCACTACCACCCCCACCACCACCCCCACCACCACCACCACCACCCCACCGTGTCGAGCCCCGCGTCTGCGCGCCCCTCCGCCTAGGAGCCGCTTCACGAGCGGCGCCGTCTGCATGGAGGCCGCGTGCCTCGCCTCGGCGTTCCGTCTCGAGCTGAACGACTTCTCGGGGAGCGACGGCGGCCGCTACTCGTGCGAGGTCCTGGACAGGTCTGGCGACGAGACTGCCGTGGCGAGCGCAGAGACGCTGCTGGACCACGGACGCGGTCGGTTGCTCGCCGTCACCCGCTAGGAATGGAGTTTAAAATTTGACTTGAAACCTCCGTGACCGCGGGAATTCTTATTCTTTGGTTCTCTCGGTAAAGTCACCGCGTAGATAGAAGAATTAAAGTAAATAAAATAACAACTACGATGTTTCGATCACGACCGCAAGACGATCGCTTTTGTTGTGATCGAAAATCGTAGTTTTTATTTAATTTACTTTTATTTTTCTCTCTACGTGACTTTACCGAAATAACCACAGAATAAGAATGGAGTTTATTTTACGATGTAATTTGTATTGACAAATTCCCCACCCACCCCCCGCCACCCCCACATTCTGTCTTTCTGGATTGACATTTGATGCCGTTTCCAGCGACACGTCGAGTAACTCAAATCGCTACGTTTGGGGGCCGTGGGAATCGCTCGACTTGAAAGCACAATAATGATCGCTTGCACGTGCGACAATTTCATTTGTTGGGCTATGTCGGGTGGTGGAGGGTTTCACGACGTAAAATTCGGGCCAGATTGTTACGTGGCCGAACCACAAATTAACTAAGCATCGTACCATTGGCCGCGGAACACACGCGTAGAATTAATGTCACGACGCCAAGACGGCGTTCGGGGTGGAGAAGGACCCGCGGAGGTGGATGTCACAGAACGACCGCCGAGATCCCTTTAACCGGGCAACGCCTTCCCGTCCCAAAGAGCAGCCGCGCGAGCGGCGTCCCTCGAGGGAGCCATGGCCGCATGCAGCCGATGGCGGTGAAGAGTCGTGAACGTCTCGTGGACGTCACGTGAACGTCAAGGGCCGCTCCCTCGCAGAGGCCGATTGAGAAACGCTCAGAGCCCTGGCATCGGCAACGAAAACAAATCCCACGCTCTGCTTCTGATGTTTATCGATCGCCTCGGATCCCCGCCACTGCCGAAACGTCGGCGGCGCCCCACCAGCCAAGCGCAAGGGCTACAGGATCCGGCAGGAGTCGGATGGCGACCTCGTAGAGGCGTCGTCTCGGAGCGCGGCCGCTGAGCTTGTGGTCACCGCGCAGGGGGAGCCGCCACGACGCCGACGCCGCCGCCGCTCGGGTGGCGTCACGAGGAGGAGTTCTCGGCGGACGGGGAGGAGGGCGGCGAGGGGGCAGAGATCCCCGCGGGCCTCCTCGTGACGACGACTCCGCCTGGCGCGCTCTTCCCCGCCGAGCACGCGTTCACGGAGGAAGGCGAGCACCCCCGACACGAGCGGCCCCGTGGCCGCGATAGTTGCGCGCGCGCCCCCCCCCCCCCCCCCCCCCCCCCCCCACCCACCTCCCCGGTCGTACTCGCAGAACGACCACCCCGGACGTCGGCGCGACGTCGCGGGTCGAGTTAAAATACCGACGCGGCACGGAACGCGGCACGTGCCGTGCCGCGGGCCCCGGCGCGTTCGTCGCTCGTCACGAGGGGCTCGCGGTTCGAGTCTGGCAGGCCGCGTCCCTGCTCCTCGCCGCGGGTGCGCTTCCGTGCGGGTGCGAGACAAGTTCAGCGCGCGCGCAGAGTAGCACGCGCCGCTCGCTTCGAACGGGCGTCTCTCGAAAAGAGTCGCCGATGGCGTGGCCACGTCAGGGTTAAAATTTGCCACGTTGGTAAAATGACACCGCGAGTTACTCAACTGGGATCACTCGCAGCAACACTGCCCCCCCCCCCCCACCCCCACCCCGCTGCGAGTCTACCGCAGACCGCGTGACAACGGCAGCGAGTTCCCTTGGTGGCGTCTCAGGTGCCGCGGCACGACTCCGCGAAATGCCGGCGGTGGTTAAAGCGCGCGCGCCCGCCCGCCCGCCCGTGCGGGCTGCCGTGGCTCGCCGCGTCTCGGCGCGTCCCAGATGTCGTGGCCGCAAGACGCAGAGGACGTCCCGAGTCGCAGAACGGGCCGAATTTTGAAATGAAGTTGAAATAAGAGCCACGGAGGCTGAACGGCTCCGTCATCTCACTCGTCTCGCCTCCCCTCCCTCTCACCCCCCGCAGTCGACTTCGGGCCGCTGAGCGCGCGCGTGACCCCACGGCCCCTGGTCCAGGCGCGCCAGGGCTACCCCCTCTCCTTGGTGTGCGAGGCGGCGGGGAGCGCCGCCACCCCGGGCTCGCTGCCCCCCGAGCGCAGCAGCCAAATCTTCGCGCTGTGGACGCACGCGCCCCTGGGCCACGCGGGGCCTCCACGCGCGCTCCTCGCCGAGTGGCTGGGAGGAGGAGGAGGAGGCGGCGGCGCACCGGCGCTGAGAAAGGTGCTGGCCGAGACGCTCTCCGCCAGGCTGTGCCCCGGGGCGCAGGACGACGAGGAAGAGGAGGAGGACGGGGGGCTGCCGACGCCGCGACGGCGGTGGGGGGCGTCGAGAGAGGGGGGGGGTTGCGCCTGGGGCGCGGGGCGTGCGAGCGTGCTGGCCCTGCGCAGCGCGACGCTGCAGGACGCCGGCTCGTTCGCCTGCGTGCTGCTGGCGCTGGCGCGGGGCCACCGCGTGGTGGCGCGCGCCGCTGACGTCGTCCGCGTGGAGGTCCGCGCCGGTAAACTACGCGGGATTGGGGGGCGGGGCTGTTGGGCGATGGGGGGCTCCAGACACGCGCCGGAGTCACCACGCACAGTCCGACTCGCGGCCGTGATGATGATGATTGTTATTTTTAGACTTCGTGACTGCAGGGATTCATATTCTTGGTTCTTTCGGTAAAATCACGTAGATGGAAAACAAAAAAAGAAAAATAATAGGATAAAATAAATAAAAATTATTTGCTTTTATTTGAAATTTATTATTTTACTTTTATTTTTAGATTTTTTTTTATTTACGTGACTTTACCGAACGAACCAATAATATAATACTAATTATTGTGATGATGATTGTTACGTAGGGTCTGTGAGAAAATTCTTCAACTCGCTGGGCGCGGGCCGAAGCAGCGAGTTGTTGACCGCTTGCACGCGCGGCGGATTCGTTTGTTTGGCCGTGTCGGGTGGTGGAGGGTCTCACGACAGGAATCCAGCCAGATCACTACGTGGCCTAACCGATGATGAAGTATGAATTGCAATAGTGGCTGTGAAAACCTACACGGTTAATGACTAACGTCTCACCATACCTCACCACCCAGTCAGTAGGTGTCAGGACTGACACCTCTCGCGTCTCCACGGTGACCAAGGGGAAGACGACTCGAGAGAGAGCGAAGTGGTGGAGGTGGTGGTGGAGGTGGTGGTGGTGGAGGTGGTGGTGGAGGTGGTGGTGGTGGTGGAGGTGGTGGTGGTGGAGGTGGAGGTGGAGGTGGTGGTGGTGGTGGAGGTGGTGGTGGAGGTGGTGGAGGTGGTGGTGGAGGTGGTGGAGGTGGTGGAGGTGTTGGTGGTGGAGGTGGTGGTGGTGGAGGTGGTGGTGGAGGTGGTGGAGGTGTTGAAGGTGGTGGTGGTGGTGGAGGTGTTGGAGGTGGTGGTGGTGGAGGTGGTGGTGGAGGTGGTGGAGGTGTTGGTGGTGGAGGTGGTGGTGGAGGTGTTGGAGGTGGTGGTGGTGGAGATGGTGGTGGAGGTGTTGGTTGGGGAGGTGGTGGTGGTGGAGGTGGTGGTGGTGGTGGTGGAGGTGGTGGTGGTGGAGGTGGTGGTGGAGGTGGTGGTGGAGGTGGTGGTGTTGGTGGTGGAGGTGGTGGTGGAGGTGGTGGTGGTGGAGGTAGTGGAGGTGTTGGTGGTGGAGGTGGTGGTGGAGGTGGTGGTGGTGGTGGAGGTGGTGGTGGTGGAGGTGGTGGTGGTGGAGGTGGTGGTGTTGGTGGAGGTGGTGGTGGAGGTGGTGGTGGTGGAGGTAGTGGAGGTGTTGGTGGAGGTGGTGGTGGTGGAGGTGGTGGTGGTGGAGGTGGTGGTGGTGGAGGTGGTGGTGGTGGTGGTGTTGGTGGTGGAGGTGGAGGTGGTGGAGGTAGTGGAGGTGTTGGTGGTGGAGGTGGTGGTGGAGGTGGTGGTGGTGGAGGTAGTGGAGGTGTTGGTGGTGGAGGTGGTGGTGGTGGTGGGAGGCCGCCAGCGCACGGCCCGAACCTCGCATGTCCCACGTGCGCGCCCGAGGGAGTTGCCCACCCACACACACACCTACACACACACACACACCTACACACACACCTACACACACACACCTACACAAACATCTACCTACACACACATCTACCTACCCACCCACACACCTACACACACACCTACACACACACCTACACAAACATCTACCTACACACACACCTACCTACCTACACACACACACCTACACACACACACACCTACACACACATCTACCTACACACACATCTACCTACCTACACACACACACACACTTACACACACATCTACCTACACACATCTACCTACCTACACACACACCTACACACACATCTACCTACACACACATCTACCTACCTACACACACACCTACACACACACTTACACACACATCTACCTACACACATCTACCTACCTACACAACAACACAACAACCGCCATTCGCCACTAAGTGGCGGTGACGTCACCACGACGCTTGTGCCAGGCTATGTGCACCCTGAGACCACGTGAAGTGTCGAACGCCCGCTGGCAGGAGGTCACGGGGCAGACCCAGGTGCCACGGGTCGACTGACTGAGATGACTGGCTGATGCACCACCTGTGCCCCCTACTGTGCCAATCTGCTGTGCTTTAGCCACCCGGCGCTCCGCTCGTTGTTCTGAGCGTCGCTCCTCCGTCCTCCGTTGTTGTTGGAGGGCGACTGCCTCCAACTGCCCAGTAGCATCCTTCACGAGCCTCCTCCACAGAGGCCGATCTTGACACCGCTGGTACCAGTCATCGGCAAGTCCACTCAGCTCCACGTCCTCCTGAACCACATCACTCCATCTCTTCTCTAGCCCGTGCCGCGCCCGCTTAGCCCCCTCAATCCGGCCAAACGAAAGCTGTTTTGACATGCTTTGGCTGGGCATGCGGGCTACATGACCCAGCCATCGCAGCCTTGCCTGCCGGAGAAGCTTACCGATGGGACCCTGCCCAGATCTTTCAAGGATTTGTGAGCTCCTCACACAATCCAGTCTGGTTAAACCCAGGATGGATCGTAGGCAGGCCAGCCTAAATGTTTCTAACCGGCGAAGATGTTCCATTAGGGGTTCCACGTTTCGCAAGCGTAGAGAAGGGAGGGAATGACCGTGGCCGAGAAGACCTGAAGCTTAGTGCGGAGCGACAGACCAGGTAGCTTCCACACAGCGTTACGCAACCGATGAAAAGATATTGCCGCTCGACTGATTCGGAGTGAGACCTCTGCTGTTAAACTGGAGCCAGTCAAAAGCACACTGCCCAGGTATGGGAAACTCTCCACTCTCTCCACAACTGCCCCATCACCGATTGGGAGTTGTGGGGGTGGAGTGTCCGATGGTACAAAATACCCAGGCAGGTGCTTAGCTTTGGTGGGGCTGATGGTAAGGCCCCACCTCTTAGTGGCACGCTCCAGTCTTAGCAGCAGCGTCTCCAACTCCTCCTCTGACTGAGCAGCAATTACCAAATCATCAGCATACATAACGTGGTTGAGCAATAGGGAGCCATCCCTTGACCGCACCCGGGCATCGATTAGCCTCCCATTATATCTGTACCATATGGAGATTCCCCCGGTACAGCTATTGAAGGCTTCACGAACTAAGTGGTCAAAATAGATGTTAAATAATGTGGGAGCCAGAGGACATCCCTGTCGCACCCCAAGGTGTACAGGGAATGGCTCTGACTCCCAGCCACGTAGTTTTACCCGGGCCCGCTCACCATCATGAAGGTCCTTAATGATCGTGAGCAGAGGGTCAGGTACTCCAAAAGCACGAAGAACGACCCAGAGCCCAGGCCTACTGATGGTATCATAGGCCTTGACCAGGTTAATAAAGCAGAGATGTAGGTCTTGTTGGAATTCCCTACACCTCTGCTGTAGCAGACAGACAGAAAATATGGCATCTGTGCAGGACCGCCCTTTCCTGAAACCGCATTGAGGATCCACAAGCCTCTCTTCAGCGTGCCTGGCAAGGCGATGCTGAATAATCCTTGCCAGGACCTTTCCCGGCACACTGAGGAGTGAGATGCCCCTGTAGTTGTTACAGTCTGTGCGGTCCCCCTTCTTAAAAAGGGGGACCACCAGGGCATCCTTCCAATCCCGCGGAACCCGTCCAGTGGTCCAGACTGTTGTTATGATGTCATATAGGGCCGTCTGTGCACAAACGCCACCCTCCCTCAGCATTTCGCTTGGGAGATCATCTCTGCCAGGTGCCTTTCCAGGTCTCAGACTCTGGATCACCTTTAGTACTTCGTCAACAGATGGCACCTCAGCCAGCCACTCACAGGGGGTGACTTCTTACTCCAATATTTGAGGCCCCGCAGCTTCAGCAGGGTCATCCCCAATTTGTGCCACGATGTTTTCCATGTCTGAGGGATTCACCCTCCCCCAGGACTTCACAGAAATGCTCATAAAATCTGCAAACCTGTTCCTGGAGATTGGATCACCGTGTTTTCACCTAATGATGGTAATAGGTGTGGCGCTGCAGGTTATTTTTTTGATGGAATTAAATAGGGATTTATGATCACGGGCCATTGAGGCAGACTCCATTTCCTCAGCAACCCACGGTTCGGAGAGCCTAACGGCTCTCCGAACCTCCGAGCAAAGGCTGCGGTAAGCCTCCTCATTCTCTGACGTGGGATACTGTAGACGATTAGAGTGGGCCTGTCGCTTTTTCTCAGCCATCCTGAACACCTCCTCTATCAGCCAGGGTCTCTGGGGAGGTCTGGACCGCGTACCCAAAGCAGCCATTGCAGCTGCCTGAGTCACAGTCCTAAACCTCGCCCATTTACCCTCAACATCTGGAGGAGTGGGGGACAATGCCAACCCCAGCCGCAAGTGATGATGAAATTCTCGCTTGCAACTTTCATCAGCTAGCTGAGACCAAGCCACCTTAGGTTGGAATTGGGTCCTGGGTGTACACCCACCAACGGAGTGGAAGAATGGCAAGCGCATCTTACAGATGACAAGTCGATGGTCAGAGGGCAGATCAGCTCCACGGTAGGTCCTGGTGTCAAGGACATGGGCCCGCATCCGCTGTTCCATCACTATATAGTCCAGCAGATGTTCTTGCTTGGACCCGGCATGCATCCATGATGTTGTGTGGATGCGCCGATGCCGGAATAGCGTGTTGGTAATTACAAGCCCATGGGCTGCACAAAATCTAGCATCCTCCTACCGTTGTTATTGAGCTGATCTGGCCCATGCCTTCCAATCACTCCAGACCAGGTGCCAGCATCATGACCAACTCGGGCATTGAAGTCACCCAACAAGATGACTCTATCCCGAGGGGCAACTTTAGCCAGCACCTGTGACAGGAGGTCATAGAAGGCATCCGACTCATCGGCCTTGCCTGCATCCCTCCACGGATGTTCGTCTTCGGTGGGGGCATAAGTAACCACGACCACCAACTCCTCGCCTCCGGTTGATGGGAAGGTGAGCCCAAAGTAGCCTGGGGCTAACAGCTTCCCACACCTCACTGCCACGCTCCCACGCCCCCTTCATTTTTTTGTTCAGAAGAAGAGCCACTCCCTGTTGTTTGGTAGTCTCCTGCCCCGAGTAGAGGACTGTCCACCCCTCATGGTGGCAGGAGCCAGAGCCGGTCCACCGGACCTCCTGAATGCCACAGAGATCCAGGCGGTACCAGTCCAGCTCCCGAAAGAGGAGTGGCAGCCTCTCCTCCGCAGTGAGCATTCGAACGTGGCCATCCAAAGTGGCTTTTTATTGTTACTGGAGGAGCCGCGAGGGTAAAGATTCAATTCCCTGGCTCCGTCAAATGGGGTTTGGCCAGAAGACGTCATAGATGCCTGTTCCCCCGAGCCCTCCAGCACAAGCTTATTAGATATTTTTGTTACGTGGTTTTGTGGTCATTTATTGAAGGTGGACCACACACACATCTACCTACCCACACACACCCCTGCCTACCGACGCACCTGCCTACCCACACACACACCTACCCACACCTAGATGGAGATACGAACCCGCGCCTGGATGTCGCGCCTGTGCCGCGTGTCACCTGAACGAACCCGTGCTCCGGTCTCTCTCCCCTCCCCCCAAACAGCTCCGACTCCGGCTCCGTCGCGCGCGCCGATCACAGCGCGCATCTCACCCGCGTCGCCCCTCTTCGTGCCGCCGGGTGGCGACGCGACGCTGTGGTGCTCCGTCGACTCCTCCTCCTCCCTCTCCGAGGTGTCCGTCAGCTGGAGCGTCGCCGCCGCCGCCGCCTCCTCGTCGTGGACGCCGCTGCTGGGGCTGCGGTCCGACGGGGAGCCTTGGGTGCACGAGCGGGCACGGCGGCGCCACGCGCTCGGGCGGCTGTGCCCGGACGCGGCGCCCTGCGGCCCGGGCGGTCGCCTGCACCGCCTGGTGCTGCGCGCGTTCGGCGCGGGCGACCAGGGCCGCTACGCGTGCGAGGCGGCGCGGCGCGGGGCGCGGGACGCGGGCGGACGCCGGCTCGTGGCTCGCGACGAGGTCCTGGTGCTGCTGCTGCTGCTGGACGGCGAGTCACTACCACGCACCGCAGGGCGGCCCGCACGCGGTTGGTGCGGCGGGCTTCTTGTGGCTAGCGGCGAACCGCTCGAATATCAGCGGCAGAGACCCGGTTACCGGTTTGCCCCGCGTGTAGCCATGTCTGGAAAGGGCGTTTGTACTTTTTTGATGAGGGTAAATGAATTGCGCGGCGACTTGTGCCGCCGAGCGGTTTGTACAATCTCGCAAACCAATCAGTACGTTTGTTCCTGACATCCCCCCCCCCACACACACACACACCTGCCTACCCACACACACCCAGACGGAGAAACGGAGCCGAGCCGAGCGCCGCCTCCGGGCCCCGGCTCCGCGCCCCCCCCCAGCGGCGGGGCCACGGGCGGCCCGCCCGCTGGGGGGGGGCGCGGCGGCGAGGCGCTGGGCCCGGAGGACGTGGGGGGGGGCGCCCTCACCGCCTCGCCGGGGGGCCGGGAACGACCGGACCAGAGGGCAGGTGACGGAACCGCGACGAAGATTTCTCTCCCGCTCACTCCCACTCACTCCCACACTCTCTCCCACACTCTCTCCCACACTCTCCCACACTCTCTCCCACACTCTCTCCCACACTCTCTCCCACACTCTCTCCCACTCTCTCCCACACTCTCTCCCCCTCTCTCCCACACTCTCTCCCACACTCTCTCCCACACTCTCTCCCACTCTCTCCCACACTCTCTCCCACTCTCCCACACTCTCTCCCACACTCTCTCCCACACTCTCTCCCACTCTCTCCCACACTCTCTCCCACACTCTCTCCCACTCTCTCCCACACTCTCCCACTCTCTCCCACTCTCCCGCTCTCTCCCACACTCTCTCCCACTCTCTCCCACACACTCTCCCACACTCTCTCCCACACTCTCCCACACTCTCTCCCACACTCTCTCCCACTCTCTCCCACACTCTCTCCCCCTCTCTCCCACACTCTCTCCCACACTCTCTCCCACACTCTCTCCCACTCTCTCCCACACTCTCTCCCACTCTCCCACACTCTCTCCCACACTCTCTCCCACACTCTCTCCCACTCTCTCCCACACTCTCTCCCACACTCTCTCCCACTCTCTCCCACACTCTCCCACTCTCTCCCACTCTCCCGCTCTCTCCCACACTCTCTCCCACTCTCTCCCACACTCTCTCCCACTCTCTCCCACTCTCTCCCACACTCTCCCACTCTCTCTCCCACTCTCTCCCACACTCTCTCCCTCTCTCTCCAACAATCTCTCCCACACTCTCTCCCACACTTTCTCCCGCTCTCTCCCACTCTCTCCCACACTCTCTCCCACACTCTCTCCCACACTTTCTCCCACTCTCTCCCACACTCTCCCACACTCTCTCCCACACTCTCTCCCACACTCTCTCCCACACTTTCTCCCACTCTCTCCCACACTCTCCCACACTCTCTCCCACACTCTCTCACACACTCTCTCCCACACTCTCTCCCACACTCTCTCCCACACTCTCTCCCACTCTCTCTCCCACACTCTCCCACTCTCTCCCACACTCTCTCCCACTCTCTCCGACACTCTCCCACACTCTCTCCCACTCTCTCCCACACTCTCTCCCACTCTCTCCCACACTCTCCCGCACTCTCTCCCACACTCTCTCCCACACTCTCTCCCACTCTCTCCCACTCTCTCCCACTCTCCCGCACTCTCTCCCAAACTCTCCCACACTCGCTCCCACTCTCCCACACTCTCTCCCACACTCTCTCCCACACTCTCTCCCACTCTCTCCCACTCTCTCCCACACTCTCCCACTCTCCCGCACTCTCTCCCACACTCTCCCACACTCTCTCCCACACACTCTCCCACACTCTCTCCCACACTCTCTCCCACTCTCTCCCACTCTCTCCCACACTCTCTCACTCTCTCCCACGCTCTCTCCCACACTCTTTCCCACTCTCTCCCACACTCTCCCACTCTCTCCCACGCTCTCTCCCACACTCTCTCCCGCTCTCTCCCACACTCTCTCCCACTCTCCCACACTCTCTCCCACACTCTCTCCCACTCTCTCCCACTCTCTCCCACACTCTCTCCCACACTCTCTCCCACTCTCTCCCACTCTCTCCCACACTCTCCCACTCTCCCGCACTCTCTCCCACACTCTCTCCCACACTCTCTCCCACTCTCTCCCACTCTCTCCCACACTCTCCCACTCTCCCGCACTCTCTCCCACACTCTCCCACACTCTCTCCCACACACTCTCCCACACTCTCTCCCACACTCTCTCCCACACTCTCTCCCACTCTCTCCCACTCTCTCCCACTCTCTCCCACACTCTCCCACACTCTCCCACTCTCTCCCACGCTCTCTCCCACACTCTCTCCCACTCTCTCCAACACTCTCCCACTCTCTCCCACGCTCTCTCCCACACTCTCTCCCGCTCTCTCCCACACTCTCTCCCACTCTCCCACACTCTCTCCCACACTCTCTCCCACACTCTCTCCCACTCTCTCCCACTCTCTCCCACACTCTCTCCCACACTCTCTCCCACTCTCTCCCACTCTCTCCCACACTCTCCCACTCTCCCGCACTCTCTCCCACACTCTCCCACACTCTCTCCCACACTCTCTCCCACACTCTCTCCCACACTCTCTCCCACACTCTCTCCCACTCTCTCCCACTCTCTCCCACACTCTCCCACTCTCCCGCACTCTCTCCCACACTCTCCCACACTCTATCCCACACACTCTCCCACACTCTCTCCCACACTCTCTCCCACACTCTCTCCCACTCTCTCCCACTCTCTCCCACACTCTCCCACTCTCGCACACTCTCTCCCACACACTCTCCCACACTCTCTCCCACACTCTCTCCCACAATCTCTCCCACTCTCTCCCACACTCTCCCACTCTCTCCCACTCTCTCCCACACTCTCCCACTCTCTCCCACACTCTCCCACTCTCTCCCACACTCTCTCCCACTCTCTCCCAATCTCTCCCACACTCTCCCACTCTCTCCCACTCTCCCGCACTCTCTCCCACACTCTCCCACACTCTCCCACTCTCTCCCACACACTCTCCCACACTCTCTCCCACACTCTCTCCCACACTCTCTCCCACTCTCTCCCACACTCTCCCACTCTCTCCCACACTCTCTCCCACACTCTCTCACACTCTCTCCCACTCTCTCTCCCACACTCTCTCCCACACTCTCTCCCACACTCTCTCCCACACTCTCCCACACTCTCTCCCACACTCTCTCCCACACTCTCTCCCACACTCTCCCACACTCTCTCCCACACTCTCTCCCACACACTCTCCCACACTCTCTCTCCCACACTCTCTCCCACACTCTCTCCCACTCTCTCCCACACTCTCCCACTCTCTCCCACACTCTCTCCCACTCTCTCCCACACTCTCTCCCACTCTCTCCCACACTCTCTCCCACACTCTCTCCCACTCTCTCCCACACTCTCCCACTCTCTCCCACACTCTCTCCCACTCTCTCCCACACTCTCTCCCACACTCTCTCCCACTCTCTCCCACACTCTCCCACTCTCCCGCACTCTCTCCCACACTCTCCCACACTCTCTCCCACACACTCTCCCACACTCTCTCCCACACTCTCTCCCACACTCTCTCCCACTCTCTCCCACTCTCTCCCACACTCTCCCACTCTCCCACACTCTCTCCCACACTCTCTCCCACACACTCTCCCACACTCTCTCCCACACTCTCTCCCACAATCTCTCCCACTCTCTCCCACACTCTCCCACTCTCTCCCACACTCTCTCCCACTCTCTCCCACACTCTCCCACTCTCTCCCACACTCTCTCCCACTCTCTCCCACTCTCTCCCACACTCTCCCACTCTCTCCCACTCTCCCGCACTCTCTCCCACACTCTGCCACTCTCTCCCACACACTCTCCCACACTCTCTCCCACACTCTCTCCCACACTCTCTCCCACTCTCTCCCACACTCTTCCACTCTCTCCCACACTCTCTCCCACTCTCTCCCACACTCTCTCCCACTCTCTCCCACACTCTCCCACTCTCTCCCACACTCTCTCCCACTCTCTCTCCCACTCTCTCCCACACTCTCCCACTCTCTCCCATACTCTCCCACACTCTCCCACACTCTCTCCCACACTCTCTCACACTCTCTCCCACTCTCTCTCCCACACTCTCTCCCACTCTCTCTCCCACACTCTCTCCCACACTCTCTCCCACACTCTCTCCCACACTCTCCCACACTCTCCCACACTCTCTCCCACACTCTCTCCCACACTCTCCCACACTCTCCCACACTCTCTCCCACACTCTCTCCCACACTCTCCCACACTCTCCCACACTCTCTCCCACTCTCTCCCACTCTCTCCCACACTCTCCCACTCTCGCCCACTCTCCCGCACTCTCTCCCACACTCTCCCACACTCTCCCACACTCTCTCCCACACACTCTCCCACACTCTCTCCCACACTCTCTCCCACACTCTCTCCCACTCTCTCCCACACTCTCCCACTCTCTCCCACACTCTCTCCCACTCTCTCCCACACTCTCTCCCACTCTCTCTCCCGGTCTCTCCCACACTCTCCCACTCTCTCCCACTCTCTCCCACACTCTCCCACTCTCTCCCACACACTCTCCCACACTCTCTCCCACACTCTCTCCCACACTCTCCCACTCTCTCCCACACTCTCTCCCACTCTCTCCCACACTCTCTCCCACTCTCTCCCACACTCTCTGCCACTCTCTCCTAAACTCTCTCCCACTCTCTCCGACACTCTCCCACTCTCTCCCACACTCTCTCCCACACTCTCTCCCACACTTTCTCCCACTCTCTCCCACACTCTCCCACACTCTCTCCCACACTCTCTCCCACACTCTCTCCCACACTTTCTCCCACTCTCTCCCACACTCTCCCACACTCTCTCCCACACTCTCTCACACACTCTCTCCCACACTCTCTCCCACACTCTCTCCCACACTCTCTCCCACTCTCTCTCCCACACTCTCCCACTCTCTCCCACACTCTCTCCCACTCTCTCCGACACTCTCCCACACTCTCTCCCACTCTCTCCCACACTCTCTCCCACTCTCTCCCACACTCTCCCGCACTCTCTCCCACACTCTCTCCCACACTCTCTCCCACTCTCTCCCACTCTCCTGCACTCTCTCCCAAACTCTCCCACACTCGCTCCCACTCTCCCACACTCTCTCCCACACTCTCTCCCACACTCTCCCACTCTCCCGCACTCTCTCCCACACTCTCCCACACTCTCTCCCACACACTCTCCCACACTCTCTCCCACACTCTCTCCCACTCTCTCCCACTCTCTCCCACACTCTCTCACTCTCTCCCACGCTCTCTCCCACACACTTTCCCACTCTCTCCCACACTCTCCCCCTCTCTCCCACGCTCTCTCCCACACTCTCTCCCGCTCTCTCCCACACTCTCTCCCACTCTCCCACACTCTCTCCCACACTCTCTCCCACTCTCTCCCACTCTCTCCCACACTCTCTCCCACACTCTCTCCCACTCTCTCCCACTCTCTCCCACACTCTCCCACTCTCCCGCACTCTCTCCCACACTCTCTCCCACACTCTCTCCCACTCTCTCCCACTCTCTCCCACACTCTCCCACTCTCCCGCACTCTCTCCCACACTCTCCCACACTCTCTCCCACACACTCTCCCACACTCTCTCCCACACTCTCTCCCACACTCTCTCCCACTCTCTCCCACTCTCTCCCACTCTCTCCCACACTCTCCCACACTCTCCCACTCTCTCCCACGCTCTCTCCCACACTCTCTCCCACTCTCTCCAACACTCTCCCACTCTCTCCCACGCTCTCTCCCACACTCTCTCCCGCTCTCTCCCACACTCTCTCCCACTCTCCCACACTCTCTCCCACACTCTCTCCCACACTCTCTCCCACTCTCTCCCACTCTCTCCCACACTCTCTCCCACACTCTCTCCCACTCTCTCCCACTCTCTCCCACACTCTCCCACTCTCCCGCACTCTCTCCCACACTCTCCCCACTCTCTCCCACACTCTCTCCCACACTCTCTCCCACACTCTCTCCCACTCTCTCCCACTCTCTCCCACACTCTCCCACTCTCCCGCACTCTCTCCCACACTCTCCCACACTCTATCCCACACACTCTCCCACACTCTCTCCCACACTCTCTCCCACACTCTCTCCCACTCTCTCCCACTCTCTCCCACACTCTCCCACTCTCGCACACTCTCTCCCACACACTCTCCACACTCTCTCCCACACTCTCTCCCACAATCTCTCCCACTCTCTCCCACACTCTCCCACTCTCTCCCACTCTCTCCCACACTCTCCCACTCTCTCCCACACTCTCCCACCTCTCTCCCACACTCTCTCCCACTCTCTCCCAATCTCTCCCACACTCTCCCACTCTCTCCCACTCTCCCGCACTCTCTCCCACACTCTCCCACACTCTCCCACTCTCTCCCACACACTCTCCCACACTCTCTCCCACACTCTCTCCCACACTCTCTCCCACTCTCTCCCACACTCTCCCACTCTCTCCCACACTCTCTCCCACACTCTCTCCCACACTCTCTCACACTCTCTCCCACTCTCTCTCCCACACTCTCTCCCATACTCTCTCCCACACTCTCTCCCACACTCTCCCACACTCTCTCCCACACTCTCTCCCACACTCTCTCCCACACTCCCACACTCTCTCCCACACACTCTCCCACACTCTCTCTCCCACACTCTCTCCCACACTCTCTCCCACTCTCTCCCACACTCTCCCACTCTCTCCCACACTCTCTCCCACTCTCTCCCACACTCTCTCCCACTCTCTCCCACACTCTCTCCCACTCTCTCCCACACTCTCACACTCTCTCCCACTCTCTCCCACTCTCTCCCACTCTCTCCCACTCTCCCGCACTCTCTCCCACACTCTCCCACACTCTCCCACTCTCTCCCACACACTCTCCCACACTCTCTCCCACACTCTCTCCCACACTCTCTCCCACTCTCTCCCACACTCTCCCACTCTCCCTCACTCTCTCCCACACTCTCCCACACTCTCTCCCACACACTCTCCCACACTCTCTCCCACACTCTCTCCCACACTCTCTCCCACTCTCTCCCACACTCTCCCACTCTCCCACACTCTCTCCCACACTCTCTCCCACACACTCTCCCACACTCTCTCCCACACTCTCTCCCACAATCTCTCCCACTCTCTCCCACACTCTCCCACTCTCTCCCACACTCTCTCCCACTCTCTCCCACACTCTCCCACTCTCTCCCACACTCTCTCACACTCTCTCCCACTCTCTCCCACACTCTCCCACTCTCTCCCACTCTCTCCCACTCTCCCGCACTCTCTCCCACACTCTGCCACTCTCTCCCACACACTCTCCCACACTCTCTCCCACACTCTCTCCCACACTCTCTCCCACTCTCTCCCACACTCTCCCACTCTCTCCCACACTCTCTCCCACTCTCTCCCACACTCTCTCCCACTCTCTCCCACACTCTCCCACTCTCTCCCACACTCTCTCCCACTCTCTCTCCCACTCTCTCCCACACTCTCCCACTCTCTCCCATACTCTCCCACACTCTCCCACACTCTCTCCCACACTCTCTCCCACACTCTCTCACACTCTCTCCCACTCTCTCTCCCACACTCTCTCCCACTCTCTCTCCCACACTCTCTCCCACACTCTCTCCCACACTCTCTCCCACACTCTCCCACACTCTTCCACACTCTCTCCCACACTCTCTCCCACACTCTCCCACACTCTCCCACACTCTCTCCCACACTCTCTCCCACACTCTCCCACACTCTCCCACACTCTCCCACACTCTCTCCCACTCTCTCCCACACTCTCCCACTCTCTCCCACACTCTCCCACTCTCTCCCACACTCTCCCACACTCTCTCCCACACACTCTCCCACACTCTCTCCCACACTCTCCCACTCTCTCCCACACTCTCTCCCACTCTCTCCCACACTCTCTCACACTCTCTCCCACACTCTTTCCCACTCTCTCCCACTCTCCCACACTCTCTCCCACACACTCTCCCACACTCTCTCCCACACTCTCTCCCACACTCTCCCACTCTCTCCCACACTCTCTCCCACTCTCTCCCACACTCTCTCCCACTCTCTCCCACACTCTCCCACACTCTCTCCCACTCTCTCCCACACTCTCTCCCACTCTCCCTCCCACACTCTCTCCCACTCTCTCCCACTCTCCCACACTCTCCCACTCTCTCCCACTCTCTTCCACACTCTCCCACACTCTCTCCCACTCTCTCCCACACTCTCTCCCACTCTCCCTCCCACACTCTCCCACTCTCTCCCACACTCTCTCCCACTCTCTCCCACTCTCTCCCACACTCTCTCCCACTCTCTCCCACTCTCTCCCACTCTCTCCCACACTCTCTCCCACTCTCTCTCCCACACTCTCCCACTCTCTCCCACACTCTCTCCCACACTCTCTCCCACACTCTCCCACTCTCTCCCACACTCTCTCCCACACTCTCTCCCACACTCTCTCCCACACTCTCTCACACTCACTCCCACTCTCTCCCACACTCTCTCCCACTCTCTCCCACTCTCTCCCACACTCTCCCACACTCTCTCCCACTCTCTCCCACACTCTCTCCCACTCTCCCTCCCACACTCTCTCCCACTCTCTCCCACTCTCCCACACTCTCCCACTCTCTCCCACTCTCCCACACTCTCCCACTCTCTCCCACTCTCTCCCACTCTCTCCCACACTCTCTCCCACTCTCCCTCCCACACTCTCTCCCACACTCTCTCCCACTCTCTCCCACTCTCTCCCACACTCTCCCACTCTCTCCCACTCTCCCGCACTCTCTCCCACACTCTGCCACTCTCTCCCACACACTCTCCCACACTCTCTCCCACACTCTCTCCCACACTCTCTCCCACTCTCTCCCACACTCTCCCACTCTCTCCCACACTCTCTCCCACTCTCTCCCACACTCTCTCCCACTCTCTCCCACACTCTCCCACTCTCTCCCACACTCTCTCCCACTCTCTCTCCCACTCTCTCCCACACTCTCCCACTCTCTCCCATACTCTCCCACACTCTCCCACACTCTCTCCCACACTCTCTCCCACACTCTCTCACACTCTCTCCCACTCTCTCTCCCACACTCTCTCCCACTCTCTCTCCCACACTCTCTCCCACACTCTCTCCCACACTCTCTCCCACACTCTCCCACACTCTTCCACACTCTCTCCCACACACTCTCCCACACTCTCCCACACTCTCTCCCACACTCTCTCCCACACTCTCTCCCACACTCTCCCACACTCTCCCACACTCTCTCCCACTCTCTCCCACACTCTCCCACACTCTCCCACACTCTCCCACTCTCTCCCACACTCTCCCACACTCTCTCCCACACACTCTCCCACACTCTCTCCCACACTCTCCCACTCTCTCCCACACTCTCTCCCACTCTCTCCCACACTCTCTCCCACACTCTCCCACACTCTTTCCCACTCTCTCCCACTCTCCCACACTCTCTCCCACACACTCTCCCACACTCTCTCCCACACTCTCTCCCACACTCTCCCACTCTCTCCCACACTCTCTCCCACTCTCTCCCACACTCTCTCCCACTCTCTCCCACACTCTCCCACACTCTCTCCCACTCTCTCCCACACTCTCTCCCACTCTCCCTCCCACACTCTCTCCCACTCTCTCCCACTCTCCCACACTCTCCCACTCTCTCCCACTCTCTTACACTCTCTCCCACACTCTCTCCCACTCTCTCCCACACTCTCTCCCACTCTCCCTCCCACACTCTCTCCCACACTCTCTCCCACACTCTCTCACACTCTCTCCCACACTCTCCCACTCTCTCCCACACTCTCTCCCACTCTCTCCCACTCTCTCCCACACTCTCTCCCACTCTCTCCCACTCTCTCCCACTCTCTCCCACACTCTCTCCCACTCTCTCTCCCACACTCTCCCACTCTCTCCCACACTCTCTCCCACACTCTCTCCCACACTCTCCCACTCTCTCCCACACTCTCTCCCACACTCTCTCCCACACTCTCTCCCACACTCTCTCACACTCACTCCCACTCTCTCCCACACTCTCTCCCACTCTCTCCCACTCTCTCCCACACTCTCCCACACTCTCTCCCACTCTCTCCCACACTCTCTCCCACTCTCCCTCCCACACTCTCTCCCACTCTCTCCCACTCTCCCACACTCTCCCACTCTCTCCCACTCTCCCACACTCTCCCACTCTCTCCCACTCTCTCCCACACTCTCTCCCACTCTCCCTCCCACACTCTCTCCCACACTCTGTCCCCCTCTCTCTCCCCCTCTCCCCACCGCACAGAGACGCAGCCAGGTGGACCCCTCAGCCCTGCCGCCGTGGGGTCCCTGGTGGGGGTCTTCGGGTGCCTCTTGGTCGTGGCCGTCTTTGTTTCCCTGTGCTGCCTGCGGCGAAGATATTGGCCGACTCCCTCACATGCCGGTGTGTGTGTGGTGTGTGTGGTGTGTGTGTGTGGTGTGTGGTGTGTAGTGTGTGTGTGGTGTGTGGTGTGTGGTTTGTGGTGTGTGTGGTGTGTGTGTGTGGTGTGTGTGTGTGTGGTGTGAGGTGTGTGTGTGGTGTGTGTGTAGTATGGTGTGTGTGTGGTGTGTGTGTGTAATGGTGGGGAGAGGTAGTGTCGTGGTTATCTCCCTGCGCTTGGAACCCGGCGACCGTGATTGATTTCCGCTCACAGCCGACATCAGTGACAAATATCTAAACCGGTCGTGGGCTTCCCCTAGGTTGACGCGGCCTCAACGTAATACCTCATGCAGTGTGTAACGACCAGAATTTGGGGAGACAAAGGCGGTCAGCGACTCAATCGGGGGATGGCAACCAAACACGCCGCCGAAAGTGTTGCTCGATACTCGGGAGTTAAAACACCACCAACAACAACAAACAACAACAACAATAACAAACAACAACAACAATAACAACCAGCGACACACGTGTCCGGCTGGGGACGGGTGAACCCCGTGGGCTCAAACGCGCGGCGGCCTTCGTCTCTCCCGTGTGTGGCTGCAGGCGCGCCAGGTGGCATGGCCCTGGCCACCGTCAGCTGAGCTGCGACACAAAACCCACACACACACAGAACCCACACACACAGAACCCACACACACAGAACCCACACACACAGAGAACCCACACACAGAACACACACACACAGAACCCACACACACAGAACCCACACACACAGAACCCACACACACAGAACCCACACACAGAACCCACACACACAGAACCCACACACACAGAACCCACACACACAGAACCCACACACAGAACCCACACACAGAACCCACACACACAGAACCCACACACACAGAACCCACACACACAGAACCCACACACACAGAGAACCCACACACACAGAACCCACACACACAGAACCCACACACACACAGAACCCACACACAGAACCCACACACACAGAACCCACACACAGAACCCACACACACAGAACCCACACACACAGAACCCACACACACAGAACCCACACACACAGAGAACCCACACACACAGAACCCACACACACAGAACCCACACACACACAGAACCCACACACAGAACCCACACACACAGAACCCACACACAGAACCCACACACACAGAACCCACACACACAGAACCCACACACACAGAACCCACACACAGAACCCACACACACAGAACCCACACACAGAACCCACACACACAGAACCCACACACAGAACCCACACACACAGAACCCACACACACAGAACCCACACACAGAACCCACACACACAGAACCCACACACAGAACCCACACACACAGAACCCACACACACAGAACCCACACACACAGAACCCACACACACAGAACCCACACACACACAGAACCCACACACACACAGAACCCACACACACACAGAACCCACACACACAGAACCCACACACACACAGAACCCACACACACACAGAACCCACACACACAGAACCCACACACACAGAACCCACACACAGAACCCACACACACAGAACCCACACACAGAACCCACACACACAGAACCCACACACAGAACCCACACACACAGAACCCACACACAGAACCCACCACACAGAACCCACACACACAGAACCCACACACACAGAACCCACACACACAGAGAACCCACACACACAGAACCCACACACACAGAACCCACACACACAGAACCCACACACAGAACCCCACACACAGAACCCACACACAGAACCCACACACACAGAACCCACACACACAGAACCCACACACAGAACCCACACACGAACCCACACACAGAACCCACACACACAGAACCACACACAGAACCCACACACAGACCACACCAGAACCCACACACACAGAACCCACACACACAACCCACACACACAGAACCCACACACAGAACCCACACACACAGAACCCACACACACAGAACCCACACACACAGAACCCACACACACAGAACCCACACACACACAGAACCCACACACACACAGAACCCACACACACAGAACCCACACACACAGAACCCACACACACACAGAACCCACACACACAGAACCCACACACACAACCCACCACACAGAACCCACACACAGAACCCACACACAGAACCCACACACAGAACCCACACACACAGAACCCACACACAGAACCCCACACACAGACCCACACAGAACCCACACACACAGAACCCACACACACATAACCACACACACAGTACCCACACACACAGAAACCCACACACAGAACCCACACACACAGAACCCACACCCAGAACCACACACACACAGAACCCACACACACACAGAACCCACACACAGAACCCACACACACAGAACCCACACACACAGAACCACACACACAGAAACCACACACACACAGAACCCACACACACAGAACCCACACACAGAACCCACACACACAGAACCCACACACAGATAACGCCACACACAGAACACACACACACAGAACCACCACACACAGAACCCACACAAGAACCCACACACACAGAACCCCACACACAGAACCCACACACACAGAACCCACACAACAGAACCCACACACAGAACCCCACACACAGAACCCACACACAGAGAACCACACACAGAACCCACACACACAGAACCCACACACACAGAACCACACACACAGAACCCACACACAGAACCCACACACAGAACCCACACACACAGAACCCACACACACAGAAACACACACACACAGAACCCACACACACAGAACCCACACACACAGAACCCACACACAGAACCCACACACAGAACCCCACACACAGAACCCACACACACAGAACCCACACACACAGAAACCCACACACAGAACCCACACACACAGAACCCCACACACAGAACCCACACACACAGAACCCACACACACAGAACCCACACACACAGACCCACACACAGAACCCACACACACACAGAACCCACACACACAGAACCCACACACACAGAACCCACACACACAGAACCCACACACACAGAACCCACACACAGAACCACACACACAGAACCCACACACAGAACCCACACACAGAACCCACACCACACAGAACCCACACACACAGAACCCACACACAGAACCCACACACACAGAACCCACACACACAGAACCCCACCACACAGAACCCACACACACAGAACCCACACACACAGAACCCACACACAGAACCCACACACAGAACCCACACACACAGAACCCACACACACAGAACCCACACACAGAACCCACACACACAGAACCCACACACAGAACCCACACACACAGAACCCACACACAGAACCACAACACACAGAACCCACACACACAGAACCCACACAACAGAACCACACACACACAGACCCCACACACACAGAACCCACACACCATAACCCACACACACACAGAACCACACACACACAGAACCCACACACAGAACCCACACACAGAACCCACACACACAGAACCCACACACACAGAACCCACACACAGAACCACACACAGAACCCCACACACAGAACCCACACACAGAACCCACACACACAGAACCCACACACAGAACCCACACACAGAACCCACACACAGAACCACACACACAGAACCCACACACACAGAACCCACACACAGAACCCACACACACAGAACCCACACACAGAACCCACACACACAGAACCCACACACAGAACCCACACACACAGAACCACACACACAGAACCCACACACACAGAACCCACACACAGAACCCACACACACAGAACCCACACACAGAACCCACACACACAGAACCCACACACAGAACCCACACACACAGAACCCACACACACAGAACCCACACACACAGAACCCACACACACAGAACCCACACACACAGAACCCACACACACAGAACCCACACACACAGAACCCACACACACAGAACCCACACACACAGAACCCACACACACACAGAACCCACACACACAGAACCCACACACACACAGAACCCACACACACACAGAACCCCACACACACAGAACCCACACACACAGAACCCCACACACAGAACCCACACACACAGAACCCACACACAGAACCCACACACACAGAACCCACACACCAGAACCCACACACACAGAACCCACACACAGAACCCACACACACAGAACCCCACACACAGAACCCACACACACAGAACCCACACACACAGAACCCACACACACAGAACCCACACACACAGAACCACACACACAGAACCCACACACACAGAACCCACACACACACAGAACCCACACACAGAACCCACACACACACAGAACCCACACACACAGAACCCACACACACAGAACCCACACACACACAGAACACACACACACAGAACCCACACACAGAACCCACACACACAGAACCCACACACACAGAACCCCACACACAGAACCCACACACACACAGAACCACACCCAGACCCACACACAGAACCCACACACAGAACCCACACACACAGAACCCCACACACAGAACCCACACACACAGAACCCACACACAGAACCCACACACACAGAACCCACACACAGAACCCACACACACAGAACCCACACACAGAACCCACACACACAGAACCCACACACACAGAACCCACACACACAGAACCCACACACAGAACCCACACACAGAACCCACACACACAGAACCCACACACACAGAACCCACACACACAGAACCCACACACACAGAACCCACACACACAGAACCCACACACACAGAACCCACACACAGAACCCACACACACAGAACCCACACACACAGAACCCACACACACAGAACCACACACACAGAACCCACACACACAGAACCCACACACACAGAACCCACACACACAGAACCCACAACACACACAGAACCCACACACACAGAACCCACACACACAGAACCCACACACACAGAACCCACACACACAGAACCCACACACAGAACCCACACACACAGAACCCACACACAGAACCCACACACACAGAACCCACACACACAGAACCCACACACAGAACCCACACACACAGAACCCACACACACAGAACCCACACACACAGAACCCACACACACAGAACCCACACACACAGAACCCACACACACAGAACCCACACACAGAACCCACACACAGAACCCACACACAGAACCACACACACAGAACCCACACACACAGAACCCACACACACAGAACCCACACACAGAACCCACACACACAGAACCCACACACAGAACCCACACACACAGAACCCACACACACAAGAACCCACACACACACAGAACCCACACACAGAACCCACACACACAGAACCCACACACAGACCCCACACACAGAACACACACACACAGAACCCACACACACAGAACCCACACACAGAACCCACAACCCACACCAGAACCCACACACAGAACCCACACACACAGAACCCACACACACAGAACCCACACACAGAACCCACACACAGAACCCACACACAGAGAACCCACACACAGAACCCACACACACAGAACCCACACACACAGAACCCACACACACAGAACCCACACACAGGAACCCACACACAGAACCCACACACACAGAACCCACACACACACAGAACCCACACACACAGAAACCCACACCACACAGAACCCACACACACAGAACCCACACACACAGAAC